CTTCTGCCTTCCAACTCCCCTTTTAAGGGGTCACCCAGATAATTCAGGATAATCTGTCTGTTTTAAGGTTCTTAACTTTAATTCCATCTGCCAAATTCCTTTGCCATGTACGGTAACATTTGCAGGTTTCAGGGATTAGGGTGCGGATATATTTGGGTCGCCATCATTCTGCTTCCCACAGTCCTTAGACCAACTTGCTCAGAAAAGGATGTGCACACCCAGAATGAGGGCCTCTAATGCGATTACTGCCTCCTACAGCCTTGGGCACAACGTTTTATTCTTTCTCTTGCCCTATCTCTGACTATTCTTTCACAGTCTTCTTAATTCTTCCCCTGCTCTTTCCTTAAGTGCTCGCATGGCTGTACTGTTGAACTTACCTTTTTACGATACACACTCTCTCAGTGGATTGAAATCCCTAGCCCCGGCTTCTCCTCTAAATTCAGAATCCATATTTCCAATTACATAATGGGACATTGCAAACTTAATGTATCCCAAACCAGCTTCGTCTCCTTTATTCCCTTTCTCCAATTGACCCGTCTTCCGAGCTAGAAAACTTAGTCATCCTCAACTCATTCCTCTGCCTCACCTCCTACACTTCACCTGCAGTAATGGGAAGTTCTGCCGATTCTGCCCTGAAAATGCCTCTTTTATGCAGTCTCACCTCTCTAGAATCCCCCGTGGCACTGCCTTAGTGGCACTTGCCTGGTGGCTCTGTCACGAGCACTGTGAAGTCACATCCTTGTCTTAGTCCCCTCACCCTCCCCTCCACAGACAGCCAACACATCTGCTGCATCCCATACATTAAGACCAAATCTGATCTGCTCATTTCCTCCATGTGAAAACCTTTATTCCCTTCCTTTGACTCATTGAAAAAGCCTCAGATTGTCAGTGGAACATACAAGGCCATTGGTAATCTAACCCTGGTCCAGGTTTCCAGGTTTATCTCTTTCCTCTCTCCATCTCATGCATTCCACTCTCCCGCAGCATGGTTGTCTAGAATGCCCGCTCCTTTCTTCTGCCTCTGGTGATATCAGAAACCACAACTGTGACACCTCCTGGTTTTCTCCTCTCACCCTCTCCTCTTTGTTTCTGAGACACATTTTCCTCTTTCTTAGAGTTACTTGTTCATGTATGTGCCTCACCTACTAGACCCATATACTTTTGTAGGTCAGAGACCACGGCCTATCTTTCTAGGTGACATGCAAATACTAGTTGCCCCATAAACATGTATTGAATGTGTGAGTACATGACCTGTACTAGGTGCTGGGAATACAGTGGAGTTCACGCCTTCACTGACCTTACAGTCAATTAGAGTAGANAAAGTTTTTGATTTAAAGTCCTGAACAATTGTTTTAATTTTAGAATAACTACGTCCATTTCTTGTCCTTTAAGAAAAATTAGGAGTAAAATGAGAGAATTTCCCAAACAAGGCTTCCACTTGAGATAATTGAGGAGAGGTTGGTTGGTCATCTCTATGGGCTTTTAGAACAAGGAAGGACTAGAAAGTTTACTGGAGAATCCTTTCAAATTTCCAGCCAAAGTTTCCTGCTATGCTGATGTCCTTTATTTCCTAGATTTTTCTCAAGGATGAAAAATATTGTGATGTCAGAACAGGGTTCATGGACACCTGGGACTGTGAGGTCATCTGGTGGGGCTGTGATTGCAGAAGATCTCAGGCCCCTGTGAGAAGGTCCAGCATACCCGCATTCAGTGTAAGGAAGGCCCAGGAGAAGGGGGTGAGGCTCCCCCACCCCCACACACACAG